CGTTGAAATGTGGAAGAAGAGATTACCAGTTTTTTTATTGATTTGTTTCGTTTTTATTATTTCTTCAAACAAGTTGTCATTCCTACAGGTTTGAATTGATTATTGAAGTATTTTGTTGATTTTGTGCAGTTCGTTAATTTGTTGCTGTGCCAATTTTGCTTTCTTTAAAGCATCACAGTTTAGCATACATACATAGAAATATAGACATTCAATTGGCGTGGCTAATTAAATATATATATATATATTTATAAATTTGGATTTTGCAAAAAAAAAAATTTAAAAAAAAAAATGTGTGAGCTTCACTATGAATAAGTTTGACTTTAACTTGTTGTCATTCCTTTATATTTTATTTTATTTTTTTGCTTGTTTGTTAAAACATGTGTAGTCAACCTTGACAAATCAATCTGCCAACGCCAAAGAAAAAATAAATTAAAATCAACAAAAAGTTATAGCTTTGCTTACGTCGTCATCAGCATTTCAAGCGAATTTTTAACTCCGCGCGTCGGTGTATCTGCCAACTCTGCATCCACTAAAAACAACAGCATCACCTCCACCAACTCCACCAGTAGCTACAGCGACATATTGTTATGTATTCATGCCTGTTTTCTCTTCTTCTGCGTTTAATGTATGTATGTGCATATATAAAATTTAACTTTTGTTACTTTTTAACTGTGAATACCCATTAATTCCTTTGTCTCTTACCAATTAATAAGCCTGCATTTTTAATTAGTTATTTTTTACTACTTGATTTGGGGTTTTGTAAACAAAAATTCAACGCTGTTGCCGCAAAAAAAAACACCTTAGTTGAAGGTGTGGATGATAGTTTTAGTTATTTTTTCGTAATATTTTGAATATTTTATTAGGTGACTATATGTATGTATATGCATATATACACAATATATGAATGTCTCTCGATGCGGGCGGTTTTGTGTTATTTAATAACTCTTGTTTTAAAATTGTTTTTGTCTAGTGACCCAATTATTTGCAATGCGTTTTGATGTCACGATGAAGCTTGTGAGTTACATATATTTTTATAGTCTTTTAATATAACCTTAATCATTTCATTTAATATCATTTTATTTTACTTTACTCTTTATTTTATTTTATGTAATTGATTTTACTTTATTGTATTTTGTTTTATTCTTTTATTTTTCTTTTACATTATTTTTTATTTTGCTATTTTTACTTAATTTAATTTTATTTTCTTTAACTTTATTTTATTTTATTTTATTTTATTTTATTTTAAACCCATAAGGTTATACATCAAGAATTGTTTGTTTTACAACAAAATATTTAAAGCTATTGTTTTGATTTGTTTGATTTCATTTTTTTAAATTTATGTTATTATTATTTTTTATTTTTTTATTTTATTTTACTTGATGTCATTTTTTATTTTATTTTATTCTATGTTTTTTACCCCCTTTTGTTATTTTAATCTATTTTATTTTTTTTATTTTTTTTGATTATGTACTTTAATTTCATTTCAGTTTATTTTGTTATAGTTTATTTTATTTTATTTATTATACACTGCCGTATTTAAATTTATTGTTTTATTTACTTCATTTTATTTTTTTACATTAATTTATTTTATGTTATTTGATTTAATGTATTTTATATTATTTTATTTAGTCATGTTTTATTTCATGTCATGCCAATTTAATTTTTTAATTTAAATTTTCTTAATTTTTTTAATTGTATTTGTATTTTTTCGTTTTGTTTGATTTTACTTAATTTTTTATGTTTTTTTTTAATATTAATTTGATTTATTTGATTTATTTTTATTTTGTTTTTAATCAAATTTATTTTATTTTATTTAATTTTTTTATTTATTTCACTCTTTCGCTCTTTTGATTTTTCATGTTATTTTGTTTTAAGTTCTATTTTTTAATTTAATTTTTTATATCTTATTTTTTTTTATTGAATTTAAAATACCCAGTCAACAGTTTGTGAATGTATGAACATGTAATATAATAAAAACAAAAGACTTAAGCGCGAAACTTTTATTTGATTCGTGTACATTCGTTATTGTTGGCGTAATAACCTCACCATGTACGATTTGGTTGGGTTCGTATGTACTTAAAATCAGCAAACTAAAAAAAAAAAATAAAGTGATAAAAATATAAATCTCTTGTACAACACATTTAAAGCGGTTTATATAACGGGTTTTTCATTTTTTTTTTTTTTGGAAATAGAAATAATTTTTACGAGTTCAGCATGAATTTCATATGAGTATTTTTGGCCAAGGAGTATATTACTACTTCATATGTTATATTCGATGGAGTGCAATAGAGTGCAGACTTTCATCTGGGTATACAGTTAGAGCTACAGGTTAAGTAATGGCCTCTGTCGAATGATAAAGAGCTTCACAGCAGGCCCTCTTTGTTCAGGGATTCGTTGAAATAAAGTAGATATCTTTCTTTTAAGATCTGATCTACACTTGCCATAAACTACAAAAAGTTGTTAAGAAAAGTTCCTGTTTGTCTACCACAGAATGATTTCAAATCTGCTTCTAATAGAAGTGGGTCTGATGTCCTGCAGCAAGACAGGTTGATGTCCTAGAAAGTGAACCGTGAGTTACCTGAGTGGTCCACAGTCATCGGCAGAGTTTCGAGGTCAATCTTCCAAATTACATAAAATTCAAGATACGGCACCCAAAACGATCCATACCTCAATTCCAAAATTTTTGTATTCCTCCGTCTGGGAGCGTTTCACTAAACTCATTTGCCGATGATTGCTTGGTTTGGCGTGTGGTCATGACATTGATAATTTATGTTCAAAACCAAACTGCTCTTTTGCAAACCTATCCCACTTCTTCGCTGCACGATAACTACAGCTACAACCTGGAAAATACTCGACTCTTCTTTTAACCAGCTTACCGAATGAGTGCCGGCTCGAACTCGATATGAGGGTCGATGTCGTCAAAATTCCGACAATTAACAACCTTAAGTTACAGGGTGTCACATTCGACAACGTGCACTCTTTCCCGCTGCATTCGACTGTAATTGCCACAATAGAACACAGCCGAAACAAAATCCTAAAAGCTCTATCGAGAGCACCTAGGGAAAAGACAAAGAGACTTTGCTCGCAACATACAAGGCAAACGGCCGGCCAGTCGTAAATGAAACTGCTGCGATCTGGACGCCAAGTACTAGCGAGATGCAGATGAAGAGGCTACGAGTATAACAACGCTCCTAGGATCGTGACGGATACCTTCCTACGCTGTGTAAGCAATATCTGCCAAATGCTACCATCGTAGCACCCCAACAGATATTTACTTGATACTGAACCTCTCATAGGCACATCAGAAAGGGATCGCTCAACAACACAGACTGCACTCAGCACCATAATTAAGAGCTCCAGGTCAGAACGACGAATTAACAGGCTTTAAACACCATTCAACGAGAGTCCGTCAAAACCTTCTTTACTCGCTTCCAGCTCTAGCGTGCTCGGAAACCAATGACAGATGAAGTTCTCGAGCTACCTCGGGAGATCCGAATAAGACTGGCACAGTTAAGATCTGGATACTTTAGTCAACTTAAATCCAATTTTTTCAGACGCATACCCAACGTACGTCCATAAATGAGGCTCCAAACAGTAATAACTACCTTTTTGAATGCACCCTAAAACCAAGTCTTCAGATCCCCCTTTCCTTCTGGTTTGAGCCTGTCGTAACACCTCGTTTCATGGACTCACCGATAGATGATCTCAATGACTTAGACTACCGTCTATTCGTCTGCTCCTAAGCGGGTTAGATAGCCACTACCTCAACAACAACAACACCATTTTATTCACTTTAGCGGGCACTTAAGTTATTTAAGTCGACAGGTGAGAGCATATCAAATTTTGGACTTGTTCATTGGATGTCAACAAAGGCCTCTAGAAAATGATTCAGTCCGATTATATGCATCAAAGTATTTCCCCCACAGCAACTAGTCGGGAAAGCTCTATTCTCTACCACCATTTCGACTACTTGCACTGCACGCACTGTGTGGGGTATAACACAAGCAACAGTCATTGCCAATAGCCAATTTACATTACATTCATTTCACACCTCAATAGTCAGCATGTGTACGCGATTGTATGCGTGTGCCTCATTGAGACTCACCACATATTTGCCAAACCTTTAGACCTTCAGCAACACCAACGCGCCATATGTGTACATTTCCCCAACTGGGAGAACACCATTTACCCCACCCAATCGGAAACCTCAAAGCGAAGCGCGAGAAATTCAACACAGCAACCAGCACTCAGGCTCTCAGCCGGATTTCGGTGCCAAAAGCAATTCAATATAAAAGCGTGTTGTTGTGTCAGACGCTCTCTTACGCTGGCACGGCGCGACATGTAAAGATTTTTATAGAAAATTCGCCAAAACGCGTTGAAATATATTTATTTTCGTGTCTACGAGACACTTGAGAATTTTTATTTCTATTTTATATTGAAAACAAAAATTACGTGAAAAATCCTCGTTAACTTGAGCGTGAGTGGTGTTTTAAATAAGAAATTCGAAGTGCATAACGGATTGTGGAACGAAATCTTGTGAGCTCTCTGTGCCTGCGGCTTCCCCTGCCAAGTGTGTTGAAGAGTTGAAAAGTCTGTACAAAACAAAAGAGTTCAACATATTCACCTTACTACGTTGACGAACTTTGTTTTGTGCTACACACATATATGTTTACATACATGTACATATATATATATACCATTAGTGTTGTTGTTGTGCTGTGTTGTGCTCTGGCATTTGCATTTCATTTTCTGTAATAAAAGTAGTAGTAGAAGAAGAAGAAGTCAGTGATTTCGAAGGCTGACACCCATCCACATACATACATCCACACGCACATACATATATTCATACATTTGCCCATACGTGTTGGCACATTACTGCTTGCTGATTGCTTTGTGTCTGTGCTGTTGTATAGGGATCGTTTCGGTCGATCGTTGGCTTTATTTACTTGTTCGCGACAGTTGCTGCGATCTTTGTCGTGTTGCGCTGGCGCAGTGTAAGTGGAACTCTGCTAGTGATCGGTAGGACAAATTTGCTGTTGTGCGCTTTGTACTGAAACGATCTCTCTCCGTATACTTCTTCTACTTACTATATAAAATAAAAATTATAATTTTAAAAATTTTTAGTAAGGTTTGCTCGTCATCGCCGTCGTGTTGAGCAGCCCCACATTAAACATTTAACACTGAAAGTTTGTGTGTGCTTCGAGTTATTGCAATTTCTTACGTTGAAACGTGAATACCGTTCGTAGTTGGTTGCTGCTGCGGTGATTGCTGGTGGTGTTTTCTTTTTTTTTTCTTTTTGGATTAACGAGAAAAAAAAACCACATCGATAAAAATAAATAAACTATAATAAGAAAATAAACAACAGACACACAATGGCAAAACACTTTGTGGTTTTTGCCATTTTGGCTGTAGCAATTGCGACAGGTGAGTGTTGAAAATAAAAAAGGAAAAATAAAGTTTTTTTTGAAAGTGTTTAATAAGTAAAATTTAAAAGCAATTTAACGGTATTAAAATAAAAAGTAATTTTGATTAATTAATAAAAACTTATTTATATACTAAAATTCAATTTTTTTTTTTTCAAAAATTAAAATAAAGATTTTTTATCAAAATAAAAATATTGTTTTAATTAAATAATAAAAATTAATTTTATATTAGTTTAAGTTTTTTGAGGCAAAAAAGTTTCATATTTTAATGTATTGAAAATTTAAAAAATGTATAAATGTATTTGAAAATACGAAATTTAAAAATAATTTATAAGTTAATCTAACGGTTAACAAAAGAAAATTGATTTAAATCATAAAAATTAATTAATATATTCAAATTATTTTTGAAATTCTAATAAAAATTATGTCATCTAAATGTAAATTAATTTTAATTTATTAATATAAATAAAACTTAATTTTAATTTAAATAAAATTTAATTTTAATCTAAGTTCTCTGAGTCAAATTTTTTCATAACTTTCATATATTAAAAAATTTAGAAAAATAATTTAAAAAAGGCTTAAAAGTGTTTATTAATAATTATAAATATTAATATAAAAAATTTATCAGTTATTTAAACGATATCAAACTAAAAATTGAAATTAATTTTTTAAATAAATTAAAATTAATTATAATACCTAATTAACAGCTATTTTTATTAAAAAAAAATATTAATTTAAAATGTTGTGCTTTAATTTTAATAAACACTAAATGAAATAAGAAAAATTTTTTTCAAACTTCAATTAGCAGCAAATTATTAACAAAATTGAAAACAAATTCTTAATTGTAAGATTTAAAAATAATTATTCAATTAATCTGAAGGTATTAAAATAAAAATAAATTTTATATTTTATTTAAATTTGCTAAACCAGGAATTTTTCATAGCTTTTACATAAAAAAATTAATTTAGCAATAAAAAAATTAAATTTTTAATTAATTATAATTAATTATTATATACACGTGAAGAGTTTTTTTAGTCCGTTGAAACAAAGAAAATTGTAAAATAATATTTAGAGAGTATTCAGAAGATATGTAGAAAATGTTGAAAAACTTGAATTGCAAGAGCTGCGCACAACGTGAGAAAAGTGAGGTTATGATCGCTTCATAGGGGATTTATTTTTTTAATTTTTAGTTTGCCTGTCAAACACTTTACAAGTGTTTTCAAATCTGAAACCATTATTTTTCACCACTTTAATATCGTAAAGATAAACTAGTCTGCAGATTCTACTTGAGTGTGATAAGTTTCAAAAAATCGAGAAAAGTGAGGTTTTGACTACTGCTGAGGTGAAAATTTTATGAGGTTATGCTTACCAAACACTCACTAGTCTATTAATAAGCGAATTTAATTTTAATTTTCCCCAGATTTTACTTGAGTGCCATGAATTTTGAAAACAAGAGAAAAGTGAGGTTATGTCCGCTTCATAGAAGAAACATTGTTGGAAGTTTGGCTTCAAAAATATTTTAGAAACGTATTATTGTGAAGTCAAAGAAAGGAAATCTAGTATTTTTTAGTAATTTTTCTAGCCATATATTATAGTTTTTAACCGAGATTGGTAAGAAAAATTTAACCTAACCTCAATAAAAATAAAGTGAAAAAATAACAGATGTACAGATGCTATACTAGCCGTTGAAATTCAAACAAGGTAGAAAGCAAAAAATTCTTTTAACGAAGTACATGTGCCATTTATCCGTCCGAAATAAGCTGTTAAAACTAATCTATGCCTAAAGAAAATACCGCTCGATTCCAATATTGTAAAATAAGGCTGAAAGAAATGTCTTCTACATAAATTGGCTGAGCTCCTTATTCAATTTGTGACATTCGTCGGGATGTGTTTCGAATTAAGAGAGGGACACACAGCTCATTCTAAGCCACACCCGCACGGCTAATGAATTTTTATGAGAAGCTGAGTGTCAACCAAAATTAGAAATACTTATTATTTATTAGTTTTTCATTATTTCGGATGTTAATCTAGCCAAGACTTGAACCTTTGGTCCTCCGCATAGTTTTACATAATGCTACCCACTTGGCTTATGCAGCCACCAGTATTTGTCAAGCTACCTTTCCTATTAAAATCATTCAAAAACAATCTGATTCACCTCTTGCATTAGTTATATAATACAACTTTCACTACCAAAAAATCTACACATAACTACGTTATAAATTGTAAATGTGTATGCCATTTAAAAACAAACGGCATTAATTGTATTTTAATAATATTGTAAAACTGCGCAACTTTACTTAAACCTCATTTTATTTTCCGCCATATTAAAAAATAATAACGAATAACGTTTTCTGCTGCCATTTGTCACACTTCACCCACTTTTTCAAACAGGCACACACACACACTTACATATAGGCAGACATTTAGAAATTTGGTTGCAGAAAATTGCAATTGTATATATTCATAACTCAAATGTACTTGTATGTATGTACATGGATAGAGTCAGACAAATTTGTGTAGCGATGCAAAATACCGGAAATATTTGGTTATTGCCAGGTGCGCATGCACTTAATCGAGTGCACGTGAACTCGCGCAGACTGGCATAACTTATATGTGCATATGTAAAAGGAACGGTGAACAGTACTCTTATGCCGGATTTTAAATGAATTGGCGGTTTCAGCAAAAAAAAAAATAGTTTTTAGAAAAAAATCCGAAAAACAGAGAAAAGCAAGAATGAGATTACAAAATTTCAAAAATTTACGATTATGTAACAGTGATTATTTGTTTTAGAATTTTCAACACAATTAACTATTGAAAATTTAATAGTTGCAGTTCAAATTTCCAAATATGCCTGTTTGGTTTATACTAAGTTTACTGTAAACAAATTATATATAAAAGGAAGTTAATATTTTAGTTACTTGTATGTAAATGCTTGAGTATTTTTTGAATTTCTTTCACGCATTTGAGATTAGGCTATACTGAAATGGAGTTCCGAAGATTTGATTTGCTTCCTTGAAAGATTTACACTGTCAAAACAGTATAGGCTAACTTTAAAATAAATTAAATTTTAAAAGCTTTCACAAATTAGTAAGCCAAGTATAAAACATTTTTTGATATTTTAGGTTATCAAACATGCATACATTTGTATTTTTCTAATAAAATTTATCCCCTAATTTGTATCTTAAATTTTTACTGCGATCAACTAAAGAAATTGTTATCGAGTTTTCTCGTCTTCTCTAGACATTTTTACTCATTTGTCTTATAGATACAAAATACTCTTTACGCCTTGCAATACTCATTAAATATTTTAGTTTAATTTTTTGTAAACATTGCCATTCCACGAAAACATCAAAACCTTTTGTTTTTACTCTTTTTTTTATTTATCACACTCTTTCATTGAATCTTAATTATACCAAAATGGAATTAATACAATTGAAAGTTTTAAATAGTACATTTTTTTAAAATTCTTTATTTATTCGCTTTATTCATTCACTTTACTCTATTTTATTTAACTAAAGGTAATCTCAATTAATTTAATTAAATTTAAATGAGTTTTGTTTTGTTGAATCTCATTTTACTTCATTTGATTTTATTTTATTTTATTTTATTTTATTTTATTTTATTTTATTTTATTTTATTNAATTAAAAAAAAAAATTATTTAAAGAAATGTAAAAAAAAGAAAAAAAGAATGTACGTGTCGCTACATACTACACTTTTTCATTTTATGCGCTTGTCATATTTTATCTTTTTTTGTTCTAGTTTTATTTCTGTTTTTCTTTTTTTTTTTTTTTTTAATTTAAATGAGTTTTATTCATTCATTCATTTCTTAGAATTGATTTTTTTATATTTTTTCTATTTTATTTATTTTATTTATTTTACTTACTTTATTTTCTTTCATTTTATTTATATTAATTTATTTTATTTTAATTTTTTATTTTATTTTATTTCAATTAATTTTACTCAATTTTATATATTTTTCGTTATTTTAACTGGTTTTGTTTTATTTTTGATTTTATTTTACTTAATTTTATTATTTTATTTAACTAAATTATTTTATTTTGCTTTATCTTTTTTTATGTTATTTCCTTTTATTTTATTAGTTTTCATTTCATTTCATTTAATTTTAATTTATATGGGTAGTTATTTTTAATTTCATTACATTTATTCGTTTTTATATTTGACTTTATTTTATTTTAATATATTTTATTTTGTTTTCTTTTTTATTTAATTTTTTCTTATTTCATTGTCTATAATAGATTTTTATTTTGTTTCGTTTTACTTATTTTTTTTTTGTTATTTAATTTTATGTTATTCAAATATTTTTATTATGTTTTATTTTTATACTTTTATTATTGTTATACTCTTTTCCTGTAGTTTTTTATTTTATAATGCATTTATTATTAGTTTGTATCGTGTTGTTGTATTAGTAATATATATAATTAGTTTTTGCCCTCAATTATTTATTGCATTTTGTTTAGTTTGCACATCTAATTTTTTTTTCAATGAATTTCACCATCAAACAAAATAAATAATTGTACTAAAAAGTCATGCTGCTTAATTTATCGATTTTCGTAATCTACATTTTTCAATACAGTTCTGCAATTTACATATATTTCATACTCCTGTTAAATTGTTACATAACATTACAGTAACCTTGCAACACGCCAGTAAAGTTTGTACTCGTATGTTGCACAGACTTTTCGTATTATATACATCGTCCCGTCACTTTCATTACATATATGTATATATGTAAACATACTCGTATGTATAAATAAAAATATACTTGACCGTACATATTTGGCTTTCGACGCTCCTTCTTTTAGTATTTGCTGCATTCCCTTTTTAATAAGCTTGACATTTAGCATCTAAATATGTGCTGACATACATACATATGTACGAGTATACGTAAGTATATCTTTTCGTCTCTCTAGCCGGCAACCTTGGCGATTGTGCTGATTAAAATTGTTTGTTTTTTTTTTTTGCTTTCTTACTTGTTTTAAGTGTTTTGTGTATTTTTATGTGTATGTTTTTTTGTTTGTTTTGTTTTGTTTTTGCATTTGTGAAAGGTCGTTTCGGTGTTGCAGTAAAACAACTTTTATATATTTATGTGACCACAAGTATGAAGATATATATATTTTTTTTAATTATTTAATTGCCATAATCAAATTTGCAATAGTGCAGGGGACGCAAAGCCTAGGCCCTAATTGAAGTGGAAACGAGTTTTTTTTTCAAAAAGAGATTTTTAACAAAGACCGTGTGGTTGCGATTACGTATTGTCTTATTATTTTTAAATTATGTGTGTTTTTTTTTTGTGTACTTTCGTCAAACACATAATCTTGGTTTCCTGGCATTATTTTAATACTTCAAATTAAAAGCTTCCCTATTTATCTTTATTCAATGGTTTTCTCCAAATATCGCCAACGATTTTGGCAAAATTTTGTGCTGCTCTTTCATGTAATTTATAGTGGTCTACACTCCGAGATATTCGAATATTAGGTTCTAGTAAAAAGTAATACATTATTTTTCAATCAAGAATAAGGATTTATTTACTTTTTGCCATTTGTTCCAATTACTAACAGTAGAGGTCCGAGTTAAGGATTTAATCTTATGGGAACACTCTCTCATTAGCTTTTTAGTATTATACAAAATTTTGCCTTTCAAATACCAGTTAGCGTAACACAATCGCTCTTACGGCCATCTGTAGCAATCAATATATTAAAAACTAATATTCAAAATGACAACTGTAAGAAGGTTGTCTAATGACAAATCGACAAATAGTCAAATGATATGAACTGAGAGGTGGCCTTCAGCTGTGATCTGAATCAGTTGAACTATAATTTATGGGATAAACGCTACGCCAACCATCCAGAGGTGGTTCATGACTTGAAACAAGAATTAAAATTCGCTAAAGCCGCTATAGAATGTTGCCACTTATATTTTTTTCTAGAATACTTTTCAGAACTTGAATAAAAAAAATTTTTTAGCTTTATTTTCTACAATTAGAACGTCCTTGACTTCATCTACTAAAGTGGGTCAAATCAATATTTTTTACATATTGATAGAGCATTCTTAATAGAAAAAAATCATAATATATTTAAATTCGTAAAACATTTGCTCAGCACAGTATTCACTGCTTAATTGACCGCCACCTGCTTGTATGCTTACTTAGACTCCGTAAAAAGATCAATTAACAGGATCAATTGAAAAGTTGTCTAATTACACGGGGCATAGGGTAAAGGTATAGGACAGAGTTGATGAGCAAACGTAACGATCTCTTTTCGTTTTGTCAATATGAAAAATAAACTTAACGAAATGATTGAAAGCAGCCAAACTCAGAGTTAACGTTAATTTTAAAATGTTTCCTTGCTATGATATTAACAGCAAACTTCAATATTAACATTTTACATTGTCTGTAAACGATTTAACATTATATGTAAATGATTTAACATTATCTGTTAATATTTTAACATTAACTGTTAACGATTTAACATTAACTGTTAACGTCTTAACATTAACTGTTAACGTTTTAACATTGTCTGTAAACGATTTAACATTAGCTGTTAATGATTTAACATTATCTGTTATAGTTTTAACATTGTCTGCTAGCAATTTGACTGTCTCTACAGCATTTCATTTCGGGTAAAAAAAAAATATTTTATTAATTTATTAAACGAACGATTATATTTCCAAATATTTCAAGCAAATTGATAGACATTTTTTGATTAACCTGAAATTTATTAAGATTTTTTAAAATGCAGTCGTAAATCAAATAATGTAGACGCTGTCAACTGGTAAAAGGAACAATTGGACACCTTTTTTTGTTTGAAAAACAGCCGATTTTAATTTTTTTCCATATCGAATAAAAAATTTAGTTAATCACGATTTATGAACATTTTATGAAAATTAAAAAAAAAAATGCTCTCATAATTAAAAAAAAATAAAAATTATGAATTATTTCCCCAATTTGCTGAAGTAAGTGATAAGCATTTTTGAGGCGACATTAAGCAGAGTATGCGTATTTGTGTTCAAAAGCTAAGCGCGGTGAAAGTGATTGCCCACCCGAAGATAATACCCTGAAATATACTATAAATAAAATTGATTTTATTTCTTTTTTTTTTTTTTTGCTTACCGGATTTCGATATTCACAAGACTCTTCATTTAACATAAAATAGGATAAGGATAAAATAAATAGTTTTGTAATTGAAAATAAAATTAAAAAAAAAAAATTTTTGAACCTAACCTCGCTTTTTTTTAAGATCCCTACCAATCCTATACAGCTTTCATTTTTCCCCAAAAACTGGACTCCTCTGATATTTAGAACAATCGATTACTAATTACGAATACTGAAAAAAAACATTTTTGCCGAGTTTATAAAATGTTTTGATTCATTCAGAAACGGTTGGTGATAAATATTTGAAATTTATAGCATCGAGAAGAACTTTTTGGTAACAACAATGATGATCTCGATACAGTTTTGTGGCGTCTTTTGGCCTTCAAAAACTGTGCCATTTTATGCAGGCTTAGCTATATATTTACAACAATTTTAAAGAGTAAAAAATTTTATGTATTAAAAATATCTGTTGTTTTGTTAATAAAAATTCGGCAATATTCAGAAAGCCCTAAAAACTTACAAAAATGCAATGCCAAATGTCAAATCTCTTATTTAACGCATATTTGATTTTATTAAATTTAACTTATCAACATACTGTTTATGAACTTTTCAAAAAAAAAAAAAAAAAAAAAAAAAAAAAACAAGANTTGTTTTTCACACTTTTACATTTGTCACATCGTAGTTGGCGGTTGAATAAATTGTGGTGCCAAGCCGTACCATGTTCTTTATAATTCGAGTCAAAACAGCAGCAGCAACGGCTAACCATCAGCACTCAGTACACCGATCAATGATCAACAACCGGCTACACCTGTTTTCTTCTTTTTTCTTTACTTTAATTTTCCATTTCGGCCGCCCAACAAGTAGCCTATGTACATACAATAAGAGTACCTACGTATGGGCGTACATACATATATACGAATGCGTGGTATTAATAGTCGTAGCTAAGCCACACGTGTTACCAGTTCTATACATACAAGTGCACACATACTCCTCGCATTCAATAATTAATACATTAGCATGGGTATGGGTATGCATGTGTGTTTGTGTGTGTGTGTGTGTACATGTTTGTTGTTTTTCATTTTGTACTCAAGCATTTGACGTATGTCAAGCAGGAAGCTTTAATCATATGGTATTCACTCGAAACCTACTTTTCAATTTGGAATTAAAAAAAAAAGTACTACACACATACGTATGTACATGTATTTGCCTTCAAGTGATATATAAAATGCATACTCATAAACAAATTTTAGGTGTTGACACGAGTGCTTTGTTGGTTTAAACATGATTCCGGTTCGCTGTTGTTGTTTGCCTCTAATGGGCATGCTCGTACTTAATTCCAGCGTTGTCTAGATTCGCTTGATGATGAGTGCTTTTTGGCTACCGATTTGTAAACTTTTTTCTGTTTGCTAACCGGACTGGCAGTTTATTTATGTAATTTTGAGGCAAAATATATATTGAACAAAATTTATTTATTTATATTATTCTGCAATATTATATTTTTTTTTAATTTAATAATTAAAATTTGTTTGTAAATAGCTATATAATATTTTTTATATGCCAATTACTTCATTTTGACATTAAAATTATTTTAATTATTTTTTTATTACTTGATTATTTAAAAATAAATTATTTATTCATAAATATTAACTGTTTTATAAGCAACATCATTAAATTCATTTTTACCAGTATTTTTAATTAATTTCTTTTAATTTTGAAATATTAAAAATTATCCAAAAAAAAGCTCCAAACAACTTTTTCAATGTTTACTAATTAGTTAGTTTTTAATTTATTTCATTATTCTTAAAAAATATTATTGTAGTTTGTTTTAACATTAAATATTATTTGAATTTTTTTTATTACATAATTATTCAAAAACAAAAAAGTTTTTTTTCATTAACTAATTTTTACTAGTATTTTTAATTTAGTTCTTTTAATTTTTAATATATAAGGGTTGTCCAAAAAAAGCCTCAAAATATTTTTATTCATATACTAATTAGTTAATTTTTACATAAAAATTCATTTTAAATTTTAATATTATTTTAAAAAAATTTGGCTTTAAATATTATTATATTTTTTTTTTGACTTCATTATTAAAAAAAAAAATTTTTTTATAAATTCATGCCTACCAGAATTTTTAATTTTTTTTTTTATTAATTTTTAATAAATAAGAGTTGTTCAAAAACACCAAAATATTTACTAATTAGTTAGTTTTTGCATAAAAAATTAATTTAATTTTTTTAAATTTTATTTTATTATTCTAAAAAATATTAACTTTTCATAAATATTAACTGTTTTATAAATAACGTTTGGATTTCAAATATTTATTTTTATTTTCTTTTATTATCTTTTTTTTCATATATTTCATATTGATATTAATCACCTGCTTCTTCTTCTTCTTCTTTGTCATTTTAGCATCTGCCGAACGTGTACGACGTCAAGCCACAACAGAAGAACCCAAAAAAGAGGAATCCTTTGAAAAGGAACTCTGCAAGGACAAAGATGCCGGCGAATGGTTCCGTTTAGTCGCCGGTGAGGGTGATAATTGTCGTGATGTCATTCAGTGCACATCGTCGGTAAGTGAAACAAGATTTATTTTTACGGGAAAATTATTTTAAAAAAAATTTTTAATTAAGAAATGTAACTTAATAAGTTTAAGTACGAAAGAAAAACAAAAAAGAAAGAGAAAAGAAAAAAAATCAAAACGACTAACACTGAAAATAGTGGCAAGGCTGGACTAAGGGATAATAAAAATTAAGAAAATGAATAATGAATAGTATAATAACCAACTTGACAGTTAAGACATTCATCAGTTGAATCAATATCCATAGCTCGTTATTTACTACAAGAATTCTGATGAGCTGATCTTCATAACAGCTAATTTCTTTTATCAACCTGTCGGGTTTACAAGTCTATTGAATATCAAGCTCAAACGACATGGAATCTTACTACGCCCAAGTTATCTGGTACAGAAAGTCTAAAACCCTTGTGATCATAGTTAAAGAAATTTCTCTACCTCGCTTTTGAGAACTCCGTTCTACAAGTAGTCACTTCTTTATTCTTGGTCTCGCATCATAGTTAGTCACGATGGATGCTTCATTAATTCTTAATGAAAATTCAATTAAAACCCGTCTGAGCTGAGTCTGTTTTGATGGTGTTTATTACTGTCTTCCGGAAAAAAAGCATTTTTATTCTAGGTTTAGTCTAAGCTGTTAAAACTATTCCCATTCAAGACAGCCAGAAGAACTTCTCTATAAGACTGTGAAAATAGCTGCGCTGGAATCACCACTTCTTTTAACGTATCGGGCTCTGTTGGAAAGATACGATGTCATATGAAAGTAACTATATAAAAGAAAGGAATGTGATTTGGACTTACGAAATCATATGCATCGCAATTATCTTTTTACTCACTAGTTTCTGAAGCGCAGCTTTAAGTCAAAATATACTTGAAACTGTCAGGGTGATTTCGAATACAAGAAAGAAATGCTGTTTTCGGGCATCCGATATCATTTGGTATACAACAAAATAAATTTTTATAAAGTTTTTTTTCTATATCAAAATATCTACACGAACATTTTTCAACAAAAATCCCAATAACAGCGATTATACCTTTCATGAGCATTTCAAATTTCAGTGTCAAGTTTCACGCCCAAAGTCGCTTTTTAAACATATTTTTGACTTAAAATATGGTGTATGAACAAATCGGTCATTTGGGCTATATTGATCCCAACTAGTCGGATCCGAAAAATGATCAATATTACATAAACTACATCTGCATACTAAGTTTGCTTGGAGTATCTCAAAAACTGGGGGCTTAGTTTGCGTTCAACACCGACGCACAGACCGATCGACAGCTAGAGTTTAGATGTGTCTATCTCTTCACCTATCGGCATTAATATACTTTGAACAAGTATATATTATATTTACCATTTCATGTTCGTGAATGGTATAATGTATTCTTAAAACGCAAAGAAGAAGAAGATAATGTTGAAATAATTAATTCTATACAAAACAAGCACATAAACTTCAACACGAAGGGTTTGCGCAATGTGTATTTAGAGTTGAATGCTTTGAAACTCTTCGGACGGCCTCAATAACTACTCTTCGTAGGATCCGCCAACCGTTCGCTTTTTAGAGATGCTCACAAGGAATAGTTTACGTGCAAAGAATAACAACAAGTTTTAGAAATTAATTTACAATAATTCGAATATACCTTCTTCTACAACTCTACAACTTCAATTAGTGGTTTTAATATGTTTGATCATTTCATTGAATTCACTTTTCTTTGCGTCCAGTTAAGCTGCTGTTTATTCACAAAATTTTAGTTCTGGAACTTCGCCATTCACTTACTTGTATTTCGAAACAGATAAAAATTAAAGTTGTCATTTTTTACAACCAACTTACAAAAGAACAATCAGTTGGTTATTGGATCACATGGAAAGTGTCAAGAGAACCACGCAAGTTGTGTTGATTTAAGCGAGTGCAAAAGAACAATCAACTTGTTTATATCAACTAGTTTATAATTTGCGCTTACTTTACAATAACAGTTTTATCTGACAAAATTTAAAATAAATTTTTGTGAAATAATTAAGCGAAAGGCCGAAGAATTCTTCGTAAATAAATATATTTTGTTAAAAGTAATAAAAAATATGAACAAGTGTGAGTCTTACTGAACCGTGGTACGTGATTTTACTTACTGTTCTGTATTGAAGTGTCACTGAAGGTGGACTGATATTTTTGAATAGTTTGACGTTTAGCGGGAGTTTCTCTTTAGTTTTCAGTGGCCGATTCACAATAGTACCACTTCAACAACTGCATTATACAATTCAGGCATTGCTTAAGTGATTTCAATTCAAATCGATTAAATTCACATAAGTTCCTCACTTTGTGTTTGCTGTTTTCCATGTTATTCATAACCTACCCATGGTTCTTTTGCAAGTTGGGTGTAAGGAAAACGCCAATATTAAACATATGATACTATTGTGAATGGTAGACTGAATAGTAACACAAATTTAAGGAAAATATGGAAACGCTTGGAAATTGTACAAATAACAACAGTGTTGTAAATTAGACGCGAAAAATATCAAATAAGCTAAATATAAAATTATATTATCTATCAGTCTCTAGCCTTTCTGGTTTTATACCAATATCTTCTGTATTATTTTTCCCAAAATCAAGCACGCAATATCAGTATAAGCTAAATAATAAATAAATTTTAGATAAAAATAATTAACTGCCTGAAATTGCAATTTCTAACTCTAAAATTTTTTTATGAAAAACCCTCTTCTTATTCTCTAATTTATTCTCTAAAACTCCCTCTCTTACACTTCCTCCCAAACAGGGTCTGCAAGCTATACGTTGCCCGGCTGGTCTGTATTTCGATATTGAGAAGCAGACTTGTGACTGGAAAGAGTCCGTAAAGAATTGCAAATCAAAGAATAAGGAGCGACGTGTCAAGCCTTTGCTACACACAGACGAGCCACTCTGTCAGGATGGTTTCTTGGCTTGTGGTGATGGTAATTGTATTGAACGTGGACTTTTCTGTAACGGCGAGAAGGATTGTTCAGACGGTTCCGATGAGAATACTTGTGGTAAGTGGATTTTGGAAAAGAAAAATATTTATTAATTTAGAGCAATAATATAATTTAGATAAAAAACAAATAGAGAACTAAAATAGCAGAAAAAAATGAAAGAAATAATAGAAGAAAAATAGAGCTGAAAATTTTCCAAATAAAAACCGGAAAAAAAATTCAAGAAAAATTTTCCAAAAATCAGTGACCTCAACATACATATTCTTTTGCATTGATCAGTGCGCGCGCTAGCTTAACGGTTTTATTTATATACGCATATTTGCATTTATGTGCAGCGCAATGAAGCGAAATTTGTGAAAAATAAATCTTCAACTCACCTAAAAATGTCAAAAACCACTATAAAGTGGTGACAAATCGGCAACAAAGTTGTTGTGCGCGGATGGAGAAAAAAATGAATAAGAAAAAATGCAATAAATTGAGAAATATATATATAAATATATTTATTAAGCCACAAACCGGAATTCAACGTGCCGAATTACTTAATACATTTTTGACGGTGTTTTTTTATTCTCTTCTTCTTCTTCCTTCACCTCTTCGTCAACACATTGATTACTACATACATAGGTTCGCATTTTTTGAAGTTGTTTCCTCTCACTGCTGACGGTGCGTATGTAATGTGCTTACATAGTTTTCAAAAGTCTTCGGGTAGCTTAATATTCACTAGGCATAAACGAAATGCGATTAGTCGAGTTTGGTCTTGGGCTTTCATTTACGTATGTAGAGCTTAAGAGATTAAATTGTTTTGGAAAAATCCGCAAATAAAAAAAATTAACATATAGTACATAATTACGCGCGCTGGTAAATATGTGCAAAAAATATGTATAACTTTGCTATTTAACCACAAAGCATTGTGAGCTAACAAATTCAGCGACTTTGTGACAGACACAAAAACGCAAAATTTTAATCTTTTTATTTTGGAGCCAATTATGTACCAAATATCATAAATACCGGTTTCAAGATTGCAGCTAAATTCGGAAAATTTTCACTGTTGCCACTCCAGTCTCTTCGGATTTTACCTACAATATTTCTCCTTTATCTTTTGCATATTTCGACACTTTTGTGTTGTGTTGAGAAATCATCATAAAGTACAAAAATAAACTTGCAACCTCAATACCGTTGCACTTTGTTTGGTTGGGTTTAACCTGTTGTTGACTGCGGTTTTTGCGGGCGGCAGGCGGACGGGCGAGCGATAACAATCAACCATGCGCTTTGCCTGTGCTCAATCTTGGTGGTAAGCCATGTACAACAACATGCCTGCGGGGCGATGGGGTGCACAACACTGCAACAAAAAAAAATTATCCAACCAGCTGACGAAAATTAAATTTTAATGTGCTCGAATTTGCATGATTAATGGAGTAAAGTAGGGGAACTGCAATAATGAATTGGTTTGGAAATAAAGGAAAATTAGATCATAATGATTACATTTAATAAATGAAAATAAGTTCAAAAACCAACATGAAAAAATAAATTTTATCCNGCTAAGTTAAATAACATTAAATAGAATTCAACAGAATATAACAAAATAAAAAAAATTATCAGGTGTTCAACTTTGTTTCTGCCGTTTTTTCTCAAAATTAAAAGCTTCATTGCGAAAAAGTGCTTACAGATTCAACCAATTTTCGGATCCCGGCTCAAAAAAGGAGTCCCTTTTGACGGTATCTAGGAAGCAATTCATTTTTCCAATTCTGGGGAATACGGCGGGTGGGGCAAGACTTCCCATTTCAGCGTTTCCAGGTACTTTTGACCATTTTTGCGACGTGAAGCCGAGCATTGTCGTGTTGGAGGATGACTTTGTCATGTCGCTCTTGATATTGTGGCTGCTTTTCTTTTAGCGCGCGAATAAGGCGCATCACTTGCATTCGGTAGCGATCACCTGTGATGGTTTCACCCGGTTTTAAGAGCTCGTAGTAAATCACACCGAGCTGATCCCACCAAATACAAATCATAACTATATTTGTCTTCGACATCGAAATCACTATTTTTAAAACGTTGAAACCACTCCTGACCCTTTTTTTCACTCAGAGCAGCATCATCGTAAGTTTCTGAGAGCATTCGATGAGCTTCAGCTGCATTTTTTTTTTTCGAATTATAACAATTGGCGAGAATCAGGCACATAAACGGACATTTTCGAGCGTGAATAATACGAAAAGAAGAACAACCGTCACTGAAACGGTGATGACAATTCGTTAGCCACTGTCCACGCTCACTTTAATGGCATTATCATTTTTGTATCTCAACCAGCATCAGCCGGTACAGCCACCTATCGGAAAACGGCGGAAGCAAAGTTGTACACCTGAGAAATAAATTATATTAGATAAAATAAACTTAATTTGAAAAAAATAAAATGAAATAAATAAATAAGTTAAATTAAATTAAATTAAATTAAATTAATCAATTCAAATATATTAATTTGAAATATAATACAGCATAGTATAATAAAATAAAAGAAACTTAAATTTGATAAAACAAACCAAAGTAAAATAAAGTTAGTTAAGTAAATTAAAATAATGAAAAACTGTAAGAAAAAATTAAAGTTATGTATTAAAATTAATTTAAGTTAATTATACAAATTAAATAAAATAAAAATAAATTAATGTAAATAAAGGTAAATAACTGAAATTAAAAAAATAATAAGATTTAATAATATGTATGTATACATATACTTATTTAATTTCAATTAAATAAACAAAACTAAAATGAAAATAAAAATAAAAATAAAAATGAATAAAAAATTTGAATAAAATTATTTAAAAGAAAATTAAATTAAAAAATATGCAAATAAAGCTACAATACATCAAGTCAAATTGAATTAAAATAAAACAAATTATAATAGAATCAATCAAAAACATTTAGATCTTTTTCCGAAAATTCAGCTGTACCTTTGAATAACTCAAAACAAAACTCGCCTAAAACTCCTCAAGTATTAAGTACCCTACTACTTACTACTCAATAATAAATCTGACTGTTGTCAAAAAATAAAATTTCCTACAAGTTTTCAGCAATTACTATAATTATCGGCATGTATACATATTTTCGATATATCGACTCCATAATAATAAATTTTCACATAAATAATATGAATAAAAGGAAACAAGAAAGGGCAATAACATAAATAAAAAGGAACACTAAACGAAGTTTTTGAAACGTAATACCGCTAAAAATATTCACTAACTTATATGCGAAAACATAAATGATTTACAAAATACAATATAATCTTGCCTGCTGCTTCAATAATCTGCAGGAACCGGTTCGATGACATAACACAATATGTAAGCGGCTTTAACTCTTTCGGCACCTTTTTTCACCAAAAGAATAAAAGTAAAATATATGAATGTAAAATAAGTAAAAAGTAGAGAATAAAGACCAAAGTTTTAAAAATAAAAATCGCATAATATGAAAACAAACCCAAAATTAAAAAACAAAAATAAAATAAAAAATACCAAAAATATACCAACCCCGCTTAATGCCTATGAAAGCGAATGAGTGAAAGATATTCAGGCATACAAATGTGAAATAAAATTAAAATGTGCAGACTTGTTTCAATGAAAACGAGAATAAAAACCACAAATTGTTGAATAAAATTATCTCCGGCTACCTATCGCAACAGAGCGCAGCATAAAAACGTTTATGTAAGAGAAATTTATGTGAATACACTTGAATGAATGTTCAGACAAAAAAATTATATATTGTTATTCAAATCGTTGACAAGCGATAAATTTACTGAAACAATGAAAGGTCGATTTTTTTCATTAACTGAGCAGCAGAAAGTTGTCCANTTATTTTTTTTATTATTATTTTAGTTCATTTTATTTTATATTATCTTATTTTGTTTCATTTCATTTAATTATTTTATTTTTTTGTTTATTTTATTATGTATGTTATATTATTTAATTATATTTTTAATTTTATTATTTTTTTCATTTCATTTTTTTTATATTTAATTTTATTTTATAATGTATAATACTTTATTTAATATTATTTAACTATTAGATATATTATTTTAATTTATTTTCTTTTATTTTTTGTCTCATTTTATTATTTTCGTCATACATTCATACAAAAATGTCTATGGTCTCTCCTTTATTTCACATTTTTGTTATTTTCTATTTATGAGTGTGTTGAAATGAAAGCCAAAACAAACGATTTCATGAATTTTCACACTTTTCCTTTATTTACTCAAACTGACTGCGCGTCATCTGCCCGGAATTCATGATGAAAGCTTCGATGGCAGATAAGGATCGCGTGCAGTCATGTGTGAATTTTCAAATAGTCACAGTTCCTCTTAAAATTCACCTCTGCATGTTGCAGATATCAATAGATCACCGCGAAATTCGCAAAGTAAAAGTTGACATTAAAGCACTGCTAACAAACACTTGCATTTCACAAATATTAAAAAATATAAAAAATCAAGTATGCGCAAGGTGAAGATTGAGTGTGTTGTATGCCACTGACTTAGCTAACGAGCTGCTAATGGCTAAAAAAAATTAACTTTCGTGTATAAATTTCACAAAATGCTTGCAAAAGTGCACATAAATTTGTATATTTGGCAAGCGTTAGGAGCACGCCATGTACGAACAACGCCCAAAGGAAGACATATTATGGTTACTTGTTGGCGTGCGTGTGTATGTGTGTGTGTGTGTATTTTTATCTATTTTTTCTTCAACATTTATACGATAAATATGCGGTTAAGTGCTACTTTTCCAAATGAATGAAATTTAAATTTCCAAACACGTATCATTGTCACTACCAATATTCATGAATATGTTTGTTTTGCATGTATGTGTGTGTATTTTTGTGACTTTCATGCGTATTTTACTAAGAGAAAGAAGCAAATACCACCAATTGCATTGTCTACTATGGACTTCAGCTAACTAGCAAATAACTCTTTCCTCTAAAGCTAACAATTAAAATCAAATATTCATATATATTTACTCGTACATATGTATTTACATACAAATGTGCAAACAACAAACGCGGCCGACGTGTCGTCCATATGAGATGAGCTATCCACACATGCGCCAGTACATATTATAAATATTACACTTCATAAGACTCATACGCCCAGGCGGCCCATTCACGACACTGGAAGTGCTCATCAACGCTGCTGTTGGCCACTGACCGCAGTAACGTCGGCACGCAATGTGTCGCGTGTGTGTGATTGCATGCATTGAGAAAACAATAACGGTATTTGAATTGTATTTGGTTTTTGTTAATTTATTTTTAATATTTTTTTCGATTTTTTATTATATTAGCGTTTTTATATTATTATTTGGTTGTCTCTATGCCTATGCGTATGTATATTTATATACATATATTTTTTAAATTACTTATTTCATGCTGTGCGCTTAAATTATGCTTTTTGAATTCGTTGTTTGAATAACTAATGTAAGACAAAATGAATTTCCACTTTTAAACCGTTAAGTTCGTTGACTTTATTTAGCTAATGTTGCCGCTAATTTTCAAACTCTTAATATAACTGAAAAAAAGAACTATAGTCATAAATAAATAAATTTAATTGCGTTAGGTGAACAATTATTTGGCTATTGAACTCTTGCATTATTTGGCGCGAGTGCCATATACGCTGCAATACAGTTGTGAAAACAACAACAAAGAAAAGTAATTAAGTCGAGAAAAAATGTATAACGATGAATCACCGGAAATATAGGTAAAAATTTAATAACGGTGTTGTGAATGTTTTGTAATAATGAAAGGTGATTTAAATAAAAACTAAATACATTATGCAGTTTGGCAGAAAAAATATAAAATATTGTTTTATAGAAATGTTTAATAATTATAAATTTTCTAAACTTTAATTTTTTCGCCTTATTTTTTTTTTTAAATTGTTAACTTAAATTTTAAATTATAAAATTTTAATCTTTTTTTCTTTTTTTTTTATAAATTTTTTTTTCAAAATTGCTGAAGTTTATTAATAATCATATGTCGCTATATTCGGCAGTCGATTACGATATTACTTGAAATTTTCATAGTTGAACAGTGTTTGACAACGAAATTCTGTTAATACTCAATTCAGAAAAAAATTCAAGTTTTAATTTTTTTTTTTTTTTCAAAAAATAATAAAAGAAAATACAAAGAAATCCAAAAAATTATTTTTATTACCTCAAAATTGTTATATAAATACCTTACATCTTTTTTGCATCGTTTGATTCCAATAGAAAAACAAATGATTTCGAGAGAGAAATAATAAAAAAATTATGACTTTAGTCAGGTCGATTTCTCAAAAATAAATCCCAGTCAAAATTTTAATATTTTAAATGTTTGACTGAAAAAGAACCCTTTGCATAACCAAATGGAGTTCCTCTTTTTCTTTTAACTCGCCTGCAAAGTGCTGTTTGTTGACTACCCAGAGATTGGGCTACACCCAAGTAAAAATAAATTTTATTAATTTTAATAATATTATTTCCTCACTTCTTCCAACAACTTTGCGCGCTTGGCTCGAAGCGAAAAAAAGGGACGCATCTTTTTCGCCCAGTTGTGAAACATTGTGTTATGCTATAAAGTAAATATCCCTATATATGCATCCTAGCAGACATCTTTTTGAAGTCGAAACATACTTAGGCACACCCTTCGGTACTATAAAACAAAACCACTGGGTAGACTGATATACCGAGAATTCATTAACGCCATTCACAGCAAGTCCAACAACAGCTTTATAGACTCTCTCTCTCTCCCTTCAATGGCGTACTCGGAATCCAACCACTACTCATAACGGAAGAGATGCTCGTGCTGTCTGGTGCGACACGAATAATACTTATAAATATTTTAGAGTCGGAGACTGAACTCCTATATGTAAAGACTTCGCTGCACCACCTCCACTACCGCATCGAAATCATCGATGGTTAAAAGTAGAGTTTTGTGAGCCGAAATTTCAGAATATGAAATCTTCAAAATCAGAGTTAAAAAAAAAATACAGCAAAACTTTGGAAAATTTCTGAGAATTTTCTAATATAGTTAGTTGGATTTGGTGGCTTGGAAATAACTTTGAATTGAGAGGGTTTGTAATTTTTGTAGAAACTCTGCGATTTTTTAACTTCAATAATTTTTGGTACATTATTATTTTTTTATTTCAAATAAAAAAATTCATATCTTCGGTGATACTTAATAATTGACTATGGGCTGCTGAGATTGGTTTCAAGTCAGCTGCCACGTAGTATTATATCGTATTAACCTTTTCAATTTATATTGTTGAATTATTTATCCTTCACTGAAAAGCTGATTTAGTGTTTAAACGAACTGGTTCAATAATAGTATTTTAAAGATGGAATTATACCAGTTCACTAATTTATTTAGTTAGTTAGTCGAAACATTCCACATCGCCTGAGAGTCATGAACTTGAATTTGTAGCAATTTGAACTAGTATTTAACTAGTATGACGTTGTTGCATGTTGAAATACCAGCTACCAGCGTGAGATAAAGATCCAGATGAGTTAGTGTTGAAATGCTATCCAATCATATTGTAGTTGGCAGCGAGTATATCTCCCTACAAGCTACAACTGTGCAGTGAAAAGCAGCGGAAGTATCAGAATTATTTTTTTTGATTCACGATAAAATAAAAAAAAGTTCTCGTAAATATTTTGTAATAGAAAATATGGTTAGCACAATAAATGGTTGAAACTAAATATTTAGAATAAAATTGAAAAAACAAAAAAAAATTATAAAATGTATTTTCTGTCAAAAACTTTTACCAAAGAATTTTGAATATTTTTCAAAACAATTTTTTTTTTTTAAACTCTTTTAAATTAAAAACTCTTCGCATTATTTTCAAAATAGCACCACAGTTTTTGCATTATTTTCTTCTACTATTTTTTTTTTATTTAATTTGCTTACAATTCCTTTCTAACCTCCCTAAATAATAATTCTCCTTCTGTTCTTCTTACAGATATCGACAATGATCCAAATCGCGCACCACCATGCGATCCCACTGTGTGCGTGCTGCCCGATTGTTTCTGCTCTGAAGATGGTACATCGATACCCGGCGATTTGCCCGCTAAGGATGTGCCCATGATGATTACCATCACTTTTGATGATGCCATTAATAACAACAATATTGATTTGTATAAGGAAATCTTCAAGGGACGTAAGAATCCAAACGGTTGTGACATCAAGGCCACCTACTTCACATCGCACAAATACACCAACTATTCAGCGGTGCAAGAGACTGCACGTAAGGGTCATGAAATCGCGGTGCACTCCATAACGTAAGTTGGAATATTTTGATTAATTTATTCAATATATTTTTTATGAATTAATATTTGTATTTATTTAATTTTCCTTGTTTTTATTATAATCAATTAAAAGTATTTATTAATTATTACACAAATTTCAAAAAAAAAAATTTTAAATTTAAATTTATTTATTAAGTATTATAATTAAATAAAATTATTTTTAAATATTTTAAAATAATTTTATATTTGTTTCTTCCTTTATTATAAATTATTTTAAATCAAATATTTTTATTAAATTAAATTTCTCAATTTATTATTTCATTCATTAAATTTTTATATTTCATTTGGATTAAAAATTAAAAATAAAAATTAAAAATTATTTTAGTTTCCGCATCGCCCTCATTATTCGCATATCTAATCATATTATCTTGCCTCTTCCACTATTCCTCTCTTCTCCCCACAGTCACAACGATGAGGAGCGTTTCTGGTCAAACGCCACGGTTGACGATTGGGCCAAGGAAATGGCTGGTATGCGTATCATCATCGAGAAATACGCCAACATCACCGACAACTCAGTTGTTGGTGTACGCGCACCTTACCTCCGTGTCGGTGGTAATAATCAATTCACCATGATGGAAGAGCAAGCATTCCTTTACGATTCCACCATCACCGCACCACTCTCGAATCCACCACTATGGCCCTACACCATGTACTTCCGTATGCCACATCGTTGCCATGGTAACTTGCAGAGCTGCCCTACACGCTCGCATGCTGTGTGGGAAATGGTTATGAATGAATTGGATCGGCGTGAGGATCCCGCTAATGATGAATACCTGCCCGGTTGCGCTATGGTTGATTCGTGCTCGAACATTTTGACCGGTGATCAATTCTACAATTTCCTCAATCATAATTTCGATCGGCATTACGATCAGAATCGTGCACCATTGGGTTTGTACTTCCATGCCGCTTGGTTGAAGAACAATCCCGAATTCTTGGACGCTTTCCTCTACTGGATCGATGAGATCTTGGCCAATCACAAAGATGTGTACTTTGTGACCATGACACAGGTCATCCAATGGATGCAAAATCCACGTACCGTCAGCGAAACCAAGAACTTCGAGCCATGGAGGGAGAAGTGTGTGGTCGAAGGCAAGCCAGCCTGTTGGGTGCCGAACACCTGTAAGCTGACCTCCAAGGAAATTCCCGGCGAGACCATCAACTTGCAGACGTGCGTACGTTGCCCGAACAACTACCCATGGGTGAATGACCCGACCGGTGATGGTTTCTTCTAAGTCAAACGCGCTCACCTGCAAATGCACAACTGTAGTCTTTATTTGATTTTATTTCTTATTTTTACACATATATTTCTTCAAGAGTCTTTGGTGGACTTTACGTATGAGTTGTGCTGTTAGCTCTTACTATAATTATGTAACAATTTTCTTAAGTACTCTTTGGTCTACGCTGATCTGTTTTTGTTTTCCGTTTCATTTAGTTTGCTTTATTATTGATTTCTTCTTTCTTATCATTTGTAAATATTTTTTACCGTTAACTGCCACATGCAAATAACTAGAATATCCATTCTTCTTCAAAATACTCAACATTATATTAAGTTGTTTCGGTTAATTTAAAACCAACTGCACTCTCTCTCTCTCTTTCTCTCTCTATTACACACTCTCTTCTCCTCTTTAACTTCTTTTTCTCTACTTTTTTGTAACTTTCACTGCCTTTTTAAATTAACTTTGCTCGAATTATTCAAGACTTTTATTATTTGACTGACCTTTGAGCTGTCCAAATAATTATTGGCAACTATTTATACACTCACACACTCACATACACACCACACAATCCACACACACACACACACTGTATATGGGGCACAGATAAATAATTGGCGCTCAAGGTCGTTGCTGTGTTAATTTTAAAGTTACGTAAACAAACAAAAACAAAAAAAAAAAACAAAAAACCGAACAAAATATATACACACACAAAGAGAAATACACGAAGAAGAAATACCAGCAGTAGCCGGAAAAGGTGAATTCCACACATGATATCAAATATTTTCGACAAATACTCACACTCACTCACTCACTCAGACACATACATACATGTATGTAGTGTTAGGGAGCCAAGATATAATGATGATGAGATAAAAAAAAAGCGTTAATGCGAAAATGTTTAATTTGTAGTATGTTTTATTGTACGTATATTTAAATATTTTTTATTACATAATTTTTAATGTATGTGAAACTTTCTTTCATTGTCCATTAATTTTAAATGTTAATCAATCGATTGATATAGAGATTTGTGGAAAAAAAATAAAACAACCATAAAAAAAATAAAAAAAAAATTGCATTTTACTTATTCTCTTTTAGCTCTATGATTTGGGTAAAGAAATTGTCAAAATATTTACAGTAGAAACTCGTTTCTTGCGGATATTGAAAACCCGCCTATATACAATAGAAGTTTTGAAGTCGTAGCAAGTACAGTCACTTTTTTTTATGCAAATAAGAAAAGTTTTTTTTACAATTAAAAAAAAAAATTCATTTCGTTAATTCAATTAAATGCAAAAAAAAAATTCATTTGGTATAAAAAAAAATCGATAAACTCTTATATGCTCTTTAAAAAATTTTCGATGTTGGTTTGACTTGCTTCTAAGCTTTTGGAGTGTCATACTATCGTCCAAGGAAGTATTATTTTGCCCCGCCCAATCCAAGCATATATGAAAAGCGTAAGTGATCTCCGTTCGTTAGTTTCATTACCGTAAGCTACGTCATCGTCATTGCATTCCTTGAAAGCTCTAAATGCTCGAAATGGGCTTTAAATATGGTTCAGCAATTCATTGCTCGATTTCTGCACTTGTAATTTCCTCCAAGAGTTTCTGAAGCAACTTTGCAATGAGCTAAATATTAGATGCATTATGAGCAATGTGCAAGCGTAACTCAGAAACCCAATCAGATGCCTTTTCATAAAACTTTTGCAACGATGACTGAATTGAAGGTACATTAAGAGCATCCCAAGCATTAGCTAAAAAGCATATTACATGCTTCAGCTTAATATTTCTTAAAGACTTAGTTTGGTAAGCCTGATAACATTTTAATCCAACAATCTTGATCTGCTAGCAGATAATTGGCGCTTTGTAACCGCTGAAGCGATTTTCGGCCGAGCTTCTCCTCCAAATTGTGGTTTTGGGTCTTGATGTTTTTCCAACAAATGGAGGGATCTACTGTTTACACTAAACCAGCACCAAACGGCTGATGGTTTTTTAAGGAGTAGCCTTTATTTTATGTCCGCAATACACTCAGAGGGACAGACATTCCCTACCAAGGCCGACCGCATTTAGAAAGCTTAACTTAATTTTTTATTTAAATTAGTTTTCTATAACTTTTTTTTATGTAAGTCTGACACGAGGATTTGAATACGAGCCTTCCGAATGGCAGTACGCAATGCTAACCACTCGGCTATAACGGCTGTACTCGAAAGATGCCTGAAATTGAGTAATATCCCAAGAAAATAAACCTGCAAGTGTTCAGGTCAAAATTTTCGAATGTCGCAAGCACTGAGCGCGTAATGAAGAAGAAGAAGAATCGGATTTTTAATGAATATATTTTCTTTTAAATATAATGAAACTCCATTAATGCAATCCTCTACAACTAAACTTAAAATCGTCCTTCAATATTGCCTTCCCATCCCAAGAGACGAAGGGCATATAGGGATATTAAACAAAGACACAGGGATTATCATCTATACGGGCTGATCTTATATAGCAAATCGGATATCTTTTCAACAAAATTAGGCACCAGAAATCGAACTTTGCTTCCCAGATCATTGCAATTGTTTTTCAAGCCGAAAAAACTGCAATTAAAGAGAAGAAAGCTTATTGGCTCTCGCAAAGAGTGTTCTTACTACAAAAAGTATTTATATTATAAATTCACAAAAACCCAAACTGCACTGAAATCAGTAGAGTCATTCCAAATCACTTCAAAGATAGTGAAAAAGAGTATTGATCTGCTGGCAGAAGACTACAAGGAAAATCTGCAAAGGGTTCCAAGGTAACTGTGAGGCAGAGGAAGTAGCTGGATTAGGCAGCACTTTACAATAAGTTCTAGGTAAAGACACAATTAACAAAAACTCGCTAAGTGCCCCAGCAAAAAAAAAAAACAAAAAAAAAATCCTTTTATTCGTAATTCTTGCCCCTTTTCATCTTCTCTACATAATCGCCATTGATTTCGATGCATCTTTTAAGCTTATAGATCCACGTCTGAGAACTATCAAGTTCTACACTAACCTCATTAATTATATCCTCGTTGCTATTAAAGACCTTTCTTTTTAAATTTTTTGGTATTTTTGGTAATAACCAGAAGTCACAAGGTGCTATATCCGGTGATTATGGTGCTAGACGTATTTCTTCAATCCCAGAGATCGTAATCGTAAAATTACGCGTTATTTTAGCGCCTCAAATCCTATTTCTTCCTGTTTTCCAACATAGTGTTGAAAACTTTTGGTAAGCACTCTTCGGTGTACCTTTTTGCAGTTATCCTCTTACCTGTCTGACCAGTGGAATAACACCTACGAGTTTAGATCGGGTGATGTGAACTGACATCATTACTTTTGCTGCTGGTTTTTGTTGCTTAGATTTTACGGGTGGGCTTGCTGCTGTTGGGCTCCATGCCATGGACTGCTGTTTGGGTACTGGATCGTACTTATAGAACCAAAATTCGTTATCAGCAACGACTTTACTAAAGTTGCTGACCATTTTCGAATTTATTTAGGAAAAATTGAGGAAAATGTACTCGAGTCTCTGTTTGGGTCTCATTTGAAAGTCGTGTTACCCATCGGGCAGATTTCTTCGTGTATCCCAAACGATTAGTTTCTGCGAATCGCTGCTGAATCGCTACAAAATCGACTCATTTCTGAAGCGGATGGTGACTGGTGATGTAAAATGCATCACCTACAGCAACATCAAATGGAAAGGGTCATGACCGAAGGACGGTGAACCAGCACAAATGCTCTCCGCGCCAAAATTGAAGGCCAAAAAGTTTTTATTGTGCTTGATGAGATTGGTAAGGAATCATCCATTCTGTACCGCTCCCGCGTACATTGTCGGCAATTGGAGCGTACGAGGGAAGTAATGGTCTTAGCAACTTGTGGCGGATAGTGACTTGCCAGAAGCTCCGAGAGCTTATTTGGATATTTTCGGCGTCTAACCTTGTTCTTTTCCTGAGGTGCGCTATTTACCTAACAAAGGTGAGAGCGTATATACACTACGACAAGATAGTATTCCGATTCCATGTTATAAGAAATCGCTTATCTAAGACACTGGAAACATATCGCCCGTCTTTCACAGCCTTGTTTCGAGTCTTTCGATCCACTGACAGTCAAGTGGCTTGCCTTTTTTTATGGATGTATCTGATACTACAGAACTATATTTCGGGCTAAGGAATAAGCGATCCACCACAATCCGTTTTGAAATGTTTCGGCATGAAGCCTTAACTGCCCGACTGTTGTGCCGAAAATACCTTTTTTGCAACTCTTCCGTTGGTCGCTGGTGCATATTAGTGATAAGTTGAAGATCATCACTTTGATGAGAAATCAAATCGAGTAGAACCAAAACATCTTCTCTTCTCGATTGTAAGTGCAGTAAAGAATTTCATTTCTTTATTTTAAAATATCCTCAGGGTTGCCAACTTATTGCTCCTCTTACAAAAAATTAAGTGCTTGCGGTATGGCTTAAAACTAAACTTGTATGTCTGCTCCTAAATCTGATCGGTCCCTACAGCATTTATATTTCTGGGTTAGGTAAGCTTTATGTGGCTGATTTCAAGAGGAGCCCACATAGACACATAATATAAGATAAGACTTAATTTAAATCCGTCGAAATCATCTATAATCAACGAAATTATCAATTCTTTTTTTTTTTCTAAATATCTCTAGCAAATTAACACGTTGTTTCAAATGATAAACCCATAAAATCACAATGCAAATAGGCTTCCACACATGTTTCAAATAAAATTTTACTAACCTCTTTATATGGCCGGTTCACTAATAACTCGCCTAACCTTCGGTATGACGGCCATTAAAAGGCTATTGAAATCATAAATATGCAAACTATAAAAGAAAGAACAACTTGATTTAAATTATAATCGTCGTCAGTTAGCATAATGAAAGTGAAACTACAACCAGTTGCCAAAGCAAATGAATTAGCATTTTTTTTTTATAATCCGGTCTAAAAAGATTCTTAAAAGACCCTATATTTGTTGTTTTTTTACGATAATATTTATTAAAGAAATATTGCATGGATGAAGCTAAAATTAAAAAAAAACTTTTAAATTAAAAAAATTGCCGCTAATTTAGAGTAGTTTGTGTTTATGAGTTGAAAATTTCCTCAAAAATTGTATGCAAGTAATCTGAAATCCCTCCGACTTTAGACACCGTACATTATTGAAATAGGTCTGAGCATAAGTTGAGATATCTTCTAAAAGTAAAGCAAATAAAGCCGGCCGAAATCGATAGCCTAAATTTGGATTAACAAAAGTTCAGTCAGTTGGTGACATTCAATTTGTTTCTGTTAAATCTAAAAACACCAAATCCTTTGCAAATACTTCATTAGTCTTTCTTTCAAATTTTAGAACGATCGGTTAAAATAGAGATGAGAAAACGCAAGATAGCTGAGAATGGGTCAGACGAAATTCCACTACCAAAGCAAACAGAAATTCGCCATGTGGGATTTTACAGCTCAAACAAATATTCAGCGAATGCCAAATTTCATATGGAACAATTGCACCGTCTTTAAAGGCAATTTCTACGTGGTTCCGAAGAATCCAGACCGGACATTTTTTCGCAGAAGACGAGCTAAAATCTTGACGTCACTGTAGCACTGGTGACCCACGATTGACACAAGAAATGATT